GGGCAAGGATTTGTAAAATGCATATGTAAAACATCCTGCAGAACAAATCGTTGTTTATGTAAAAAAAATAAAATTCTATGTAACTCTAAATGCCACGATAGTTTGTCATGTCAAAATAAATAATACAATAAATGTTTATATTTAATATGTACTTATATTTCTACATTTCCCTAGTTAAAACTAGTTTTACCTAACAATAAAACAATATGAATTTTCACTAGATAATTCTAGTTTTCACTACTATATTTTAGACCCAACTAATTGTAAAAAAATAATAATATGTTTAAACTAGTTTTGACGATGATGGTCTTTGTAAATTCTAGTTTTAACTAGTTAAAACCAGAATTGACTAAAGGGATTTGTGGAAACTAGTTAAAACTAGTTAAAACTAGTTTTGACGAATTTCGGGTTTCAACTGTAACATATACATTTGAAACATGATTCTACATTTCTTAAAGGACGTAAAAATAATGTACAATGATATTAAATATCTCGGTATGATTGGTATAATTGGTTCTGAGAAATACTTTCCAAGAGAAATTGAAGAAATATTACCAGTCTTTGTTAGCAAAAACAAGAACGTAGATTTATATAAAAAAAAAAAAATCTAAACTTTGATGCAAACATTGTTAAATTTCTTGAACTTAAAAATTGAACTATAAATTTAAAATAAAATAAAAATAATTGGGTATTTTATCAGAAAAATCGATAAAAGTATACAAGTTGTAAAGGTTTATATCGAATACATTTTACTTTATATATATATATATATGTGTGTGTGTGTGTGTGTGTGTGTATATGTATATGTAAATACTTTATATATAAGTACTTTTTCATTTACTGAATAAACTTCAAAACTTCAATAGATAAACCAAATGAAGAATATCCAAGAGCTTATTTAATTTCGATATGTTTTCTTTTTTAGAATATATTTTCAGACATCATTATTATTTTTTTTTATAAAAACGCACATTTATGACAGAAAAATGTTATACGCGCAAACATCTCATGGACTACAATAATGAAAACCATACGAAGTGGAAATTCAAAACAAAACGTATATAATAGCGTGTGGTATATTGTATTTTATTTTTTGTGTCGGTGAAATGTAAAAACATAAAATTAATAATGTCGCAAGCTAGTACGTTCTAAACATTTAAACGGCCAAACGTATACCATTACAGGTGTATACATCTAGTTATACACTTTGCCAATACACCACACACGCTGACTTTGCGAGTTTTTGGAATAGAGTTCAAAAGAAAAATTACCTTTGGGACTCACAAAAAATACGACGTGTGAATGCAGTCACTCGAGTAAATGATCAGTTACATTCAGTCATCGGATTTTCGTGCTATGACCAATAACCGGCAGATCAGAGATTACAAAACTTTTGAATGCCTTATAACATTTTTACTGACAACGCAAAAGTCAAATAATACAAAAATAATATTTACACATGATAATTGTGTTATGAACCTAATAGTGATACTTATTATTTTTAACAATGCAACAATACATTGTTTACAGTCGCAACTAGTTGGATTAAACAAAGGGCTTAATTATGAAAATTTAACGTAAAGATGGTCAGAGTATAATATATTTGTAAATACTATAATTCTATGAAAATGTATGCCCAAATATATTTTGATATAAATTAGCATAAAAATTGATCGTTTTAAATCTTAAAACATAAAACATAATTTTCCACCATTCGGTGTACCTACCAGAGTATAGACTGTGTATTTTATGTCCATTTTTGTAGCCTAACAGATGGACGAACTTCTGTTAGTCGTTTCGAACACGATTACTAGCCGAACATCACACAATTGTAACCCAATTAACGCTATAAAAATCATTGATTTCATTCCACTACATTGTTTAATTTTTTTCTGTAATAATATAATAAATCATTTGCTTTTAGGAATTATAATTTAATTATTATTTGTTCATAGCTTTATTTCAGGGGCGTAATTTAAGGAGGACAGACTATGGCAAATGCTAAAATCAGTAAATAGTAAATTTTTATTTACTATTTTGTACTCAGAAATAAGATAATATTGTTTTTTAAATACACGTTCACGGTTTATTAAAAGTTGGGAAACACTTGCTTCTCCCCGGTTTATAACAATCGTTATTACGCGAACCTTATAAAGTGTATTTTTGGTATATTATATATTTCTATGAATGTGATCTTTATACAACAGTTTTCGTGATATCGATACCATAAAAATTGAGCTCTTAATCTATAAAAAACCGTTAAAATCGTTCCTATTCATCCCAAACTACGGTACATTATATTTGAGATACAATTTTATGTTTTTATAAAGAAGTTCTGTAAAGTGTTAAATATACAAATAATAAATATATAATTATTTATTTAATTAGATTTATATTATTATTCCATTAAACCTATTGATAGCTAACTTATAGCCTATAGGCTAAGTAAATTAATTAATGTTATTATTTAGTTGGATAAATTGAAACGTTTTATGTTTTTTATTTATCATCATAACATCATTATTCATTACTAATCCGTATCTATATGTTTTGTTCCGAACAAATATTTTATTGATGGTCTATGGTCCATAGGTAAATATTAGATATTTAAATACATAGGTAACCATAATTTTTTAAATATTATGAAGTCGGCAAATTTTATCAGTTACCCCACCCTTTCAAAAGTTGAAATGACGCCCCTGTTTTATTTTTCATCGATATAATATATCAATATACGATTTTTTAAAAAAAATTTCATTTTATTTTTGTACTTTTTACTTTTTTTTTATGTACTTCAATCGTATTGCACGGAAAATATGTGTATCACACGATGTTTAATTCATCATTTGCGTGACATTCGCAAAATTTATTTATAGATAATACATCGTGTACGTATATTGAATGGAACGTTTATACACTTGTTATTTCTGAACAACCCGATCATCCATGTTCAACCATACGTATGGTCGAACGCAGATCAGTGAAGCCAGCGTTTATATTACACCTAAATTGGATTACGTTGTTTATAAATAGAGCAGAGGACTTGTAGCTATAAAAAACAATATTAAATGATTACAATTTTAAATTATTTTTAATTCGAATATTTGTTTCGTATTTTGCTACTTTTGTGATTGTGCAAAAAAAATATGTAAACGCTACAAGTACTCTGCCTTTTTTATAAACAATGGTGTATCATCCCTGTGGTCTGCAAGTCGGTACATTCTTAGTCGTCTGAAAGTTTCATTTGTGCAACGGTTTCCGTAACAACATTTCAACCACGATCAATAATACACACCTATACGTGTGCGTAGGCATCGTTTATTATGTAATTATCGTTCATGTACAAATACAACGTTGAAAATCGTAAAATTTTGATTAAAATATGTATCGGAACGTACCCGATGAGGTTAACGAAAGAAAATTCCGCAGGGTGGGAGCGTTTTGAATATGAGAAATATTTGTTTACAGTTAATTTTATTGTGTTTAACCGAAGCTGATGGTTAAAAGCACTAGAAAAAAACATTTTTTTTAATCTGAATTGAATAATAACTAAATCGGGCGCATGTAAATTTTTCCCAAGATGAACTAGAAGTAAAATAATATACATGAAAATTCCGCCCAAAAAAATACAGGTAAAGAAATAAATACTTAATCAAAATTTTAAAAAAAACTAAGGAAATATTAAAATTTAAATTTTTTATAAATTACTCAAAAAATGCATAAAATAACTTTCCTCAAGGCACCAATTGGACTTATGTTTCCTATATTTATTTTTAATTTGGAGATGAGCAAACTCATCCTTCTGGTCGAAATCGTGTGGATACACTGACAAAAATAAACACATCATGATAAAACCAATACATTGCTCGTTCACTCAGCATCTAAAATAAATCATCCTCTTCAATATTTTATAAATTAACGGGAAAGCAAAATATTCCAAATATTTTCCGTTTACAGTATTGCAAGTCTTATCTTAATTGTATTCCTAACATGTCACCTCATTTATTAAGTTACATTTATTATACAATTTTTTTTTCTTTTATGGTTTGTACTTGCTATGTAAATAAATGTATTAATTTTAAAATAATTAATTAGTGTAAAGAAAAAATGAATTTACCTGTTTTGAGTCCTAATCAATTGACTTTTATCAAGATTACAATTTTTAGTATTTTCAGAACCGACACTTCCCTTTTTTTCATTCATATTGCATATAATTCGATTAATAGTGTAATAAAAACTATAATTGTTTAAAGTGTAAGAGTTAAGACTATGATTGTTGTTATAATAAATTGTTATTATACTATTGTATAACCAATAGTTACTGAAAACATTAAAAACAGTTAATGGTGCCCAAAACGTATAAAAAACTAATAGGTATATCCTATAGAGTAAAGAATGTCCCCATGGTATTCATGACCGGTCAATTAAATAATCAAGAAATGAGGCGAACGTTTATTGATTTATATAAATGTCAGCATGATATCAATGATATCATTGATATTATTTTAGGGATGGGCCGATACCACTTTTTACCGATATATACAACCGATATAAAATCGATACCCGATATTATAATCACAAGTAAAAACTAAGTTGATTTTTAATATATTACATAAAAAAATCAACTTTTTTGGTAAAACCATGAACTGATACTAAAATTAATCCGACATCACAAACCAATAAAACCGATACCCGATATTATAATAACAAGTAGTTTTTGCGGTATCGATTCAAATATCGGTGTGGGATTTAATTGGTATCGACCGATACCAAGTATCGGTTCTAAGATCGGCCCACCACTAGATATTATATAGCAGAATGACCGGTATTTTTAATACTATTCATAACCTAAATAAATAAAGGTATGATAAAGCTGCGCAGAACCGAATGCTGGTGCTTTATTGCTTATGAATATTATATCTTAGATGGAAAATGTACAAGAGAAGGAACAAACCACTTTGAATATTATCATTTTTATATAATATATAATTATGTCAAATATTAAAACTTACAAATTAAAATAACAAAAACCATTAGCTTAAATCAAAACTGTCTTTCTATACATCAACCTTAAATTAAATATTTTATATCACATACAAAAATAAAAATAACAGAATATTACTCCATAGGTATTGTTCCACATCATTTGAATCCCAATATTATCAAAAACAAATATTATGTATTCTTCGTGTATGACATAGTAATTTACTACTTGTTGTGAACGACATTTCACACAAATCACAAACATAAAGTTTTATACTGGTATGCGTTGAATAATGTTTTGTCAAATTCCCTATTATTGAAAACGATCTACCACAAGTATTACACGCGTAAGGCTTTTCACCAGTATGGGTTCTATAATGAGCTTTCAAACTGTGTTTCTGTGTAAATGATCTATCACAAACATCACACGTAAATGGTTTTTCACCTGTATGCGTTCTATAATGTGTAGCTAATTGGCTGCTTGACACAAAACATTTTCCACAAACATCGCACCCGTAAGGCTTCTCTCCGGTATGTATTCTACAATGAATTTTCAAATTATGTTTCTGTGTATACGATCGACCACATACATCACATACAAATGGTTTTTCACCGGTATGAGTTCTGTAATGAATAGATAATTTACTGCTTGACCCAAAGCATTTTCCACAAACATCGCACACGTAAGGTTTTTCACCGGTATGCATTCTGTAATGTGTTGTCAAAGAACATTTATGTGAAAACGATCTACCACA